TAAAAAACATGTTACATCTCATTCTGTTATCAGCAAACACAGAACGTTAACCATGATTTTGATTGGTCTAATGTGTCCATTTTACATAACGAATTGCATGTAAAAAAGAGAGAAATAAGCAAGATGATTTTCATAAAAAACAAAGAATTCTATTAATTTGCAAAGGGACACAGAAAACTTAAATGATATGTATGATACTATTTTGAATTTATTTTAGATATCCGTATTTATTTTATTAATTTTTAATTTTTAATTTCTCATTTTTATTTTATTTTTGTTTTTATGAATTTATTTTAGATATCGGTATTTATTTTATTAATTTTTAATTTTTATTTTATTTTTGTTTTTATCCTAGTAGAGTTTATATATAATTTGTTTTTGTGGTCTCCATTTACAATAATAATTTCAGGTTCTCTCTTCAATTAAGACACTTCTTCACTCCGCAAATATTGTAGACCTTATGACATCGTGGACCCGCTTTTCATAAGTTTCAGCCTTTCTCAAAAAATCTTCATAAAGGATTATCATAGTGATGAAATCGGCCTCTACCTGTTTAATTGCTTACAAATTCAAGCAGCGAAACGTTGGCGCCAATGTGTCGCAATTAAAAAAAAATAAGGAAGTTGTTTTTGTTCTTGTTTATGAGAGATTTTCCGCGAGGATACAAAGCTGCCGAACGTCAGCGCTGTTACACTCGTACCGCCTATAAATAACATTTTGACAGTTCGTCGCAGCGTTGGCGCTAAAATCTCAATTCCCTTCCGTATGTCAGAACAATAAAATACCCATAAAAATGAATTTTATGGATTTTGGAGTGCTCGGTTTTAAATTCGAGCAGTCATAAATCACATAAATAAACACCTGTGAACATGCTTGGGTCCTTCCCCCCTTTCTCATAAAAATAAACATCTGTCAAACATGCTTGGAGACCTACCCCCCCCCAACGGCATACCCTTCTCGCTTACGAAAACCTCCGCCCCGCGTGACATCATCCCACCCGCGTCCTCAAGATACCCCCCTTTTTTTTTGTTACTCTGGGGAAACCTCATGGTACCATCCGCCTCCGGGTAGAAGCGGGGGTTATGTGGGACTCCCTGCCCCGCCTGGCCGGCCCGCGCCTCCGCCTGGCCGGTCCGCCGTAGCGGGCCGGAGAGTCGGGATCGGCGGGCCGAAGAGCCGGGACAGGATCTACCGCACTAAAACCCCAGAGGATGTCCTTCACGGGCGTTATACAGGGGACGGCCAGGATGCTGGTATCCCATGCCGTCTAGCCGCCCCCCCGCCTTATCCCTCCTTGGGAGGGTGCCGCGGAAGGCGACTTCCGCGGCACCCTCCCCCCGTCATTGTACGGGTTCTTCGCGGTTGCGGCGCAGGGCGACATCGACCCCACGCCGCGCCCTCTTGAAGAGTTTGAAGGGCCGGAGCCATGGCTCGAGAACTCCCGCTCGAGCCATCGCCCCTCGCCCCCCCAGTGTCGCAACTCCCGGACCCCCAAGAAGGTGGTCCGGTTCGGCGGTTCACTGAGGGAGCCCTCATCAGGGGATTCCTCTCAGAAGGAGAGAAACCCTCTTCCGTGGACGATGTTGCCCTCCCACCGGGGCCTTATGACTCCCGGTGAGAGGGCCCCACACGTCACGTCTCCGTCCTTGAGAGGGGCCCAGGCGCCCCGGACGGGAAGGCAATGCCCGCCCGTCAGGGACACGTGGCCCCCCCTCATTCCCGACCCCCCCCCCGGTTGCGACCTCCCTCCGCCCCGTTAGGGGTCAGAGTTCACCCGCAACCGGTGGGGCCCCTCCTTCCCGGAGGGCGTAAAGGGGGGGACGCCTAGGCGCTCCCATGTCTCCCCCGACACCCTCATCCTGCATCGTTAATCGAATTTGTATGTGGCGAGCTTCCCGTCCCCCACCGCCGCCGACTGCCCCGCCCTTGGGCACGACAGCCCAGGAACCATCCGGGCCGTCCGGGCCTCCCTCCTCTCCCGACCGGCCTCCATCCTAGCGAGGCGCCTCTCAATCAACTCCAGCCGGTCCGAACCGGCAGCCAGTCTCGAGGACATGTCCCCCGGCAAAGGAGTCTCTCCGACAGGCGCCTCACTCACCCCCTCCGTCTGGGTTCCCCGATCACGGAGGTCGCCCCCGCAATCAGGGGACACCCCGTCATTCCTGACGGCGTCCTCGCTCAACCGGGCGCATTCCCTCCGTGTCAGGTCTGTGATGACCCACGTGAGTTCCTGCACCCGGTTGCGCACCGTCTCGGCGTAACTGTTCGCCGCTTTCATCGCCGAGACCGTGTTCCCCTCCTTCAGGCATCCATGGATGTCCTTCAGGAAATCACCAGTGATTTCCATCACTTCATCCCAGTGCCCCACCGAGCTATGGAATAGCTCCGCGGTGGGCGTCCCGGCTCCGGGACCGTTCCACCACGGAGCTAGATCCGCCTCCCAACTTATGCCTGGCAGCATGACCGCCGGCCTCCTGTCGTTCGAGGTCTGGGGCTCTACCTCCATTGGAGCCCCGAATCTCGCTCCTTCCTCTGCCTCACGCCCGTCGTCTGATGACGACGGGGTGGGGGCCGGGACTATACCCCCCTCCCCGCCGGGCCCTTTTTTTTTTTTTTTTTAAGCGTCAGGTGCGTTCATGTGCTCGACACATACGCCGCCTCGGGGGAGAGGCTTTGTTATGTGGGGATGGACGGGTGAGGACAGAAGGTTCTGACCCGACCCACTAAACCTGACGGTGGCAGTCCTAACCGCTTACGACGACCCTCCGGGAACCGCTTTCGCATAACTTTCAGAGGGTCGTCTCGCGTCCGTGCTTGAAAACACCAGTAATTTGAGATCTAACACCATACTAAATAATCAGACCGGCAAGTCCAGATAACAAAACTTATCTAGGAAAAAGAACAGCGCGCCACAGTGCAATGCCATTCATTTCCGCCCACCGTAACGCAGACGTGCAATGAGATTCTCAGCGCCCCGCCAGGATTCCCTGTCCGCATTAGGGTGGGGTATCACTCTAAAATTAGAGAGGAAAAGCGAGAATAAGGAAGAGGAAGAGGAAATAAAATGGGGAGAGGAAAAAGGGGGGGAGGAGGTTTATAATCGTTGGTGTCTACAGGACACTTCTTATCACGTTGATGTCATCTATTCAGACGGTGAGGAAAGGATTAATCTTTCGATCCGCCTCTCCTCAGCCTTCTTTATGCCGATGACGACCGAGCAAAATTCCAAGAATGATGTCCAATAAGCCTCTGAATATATTATTTTTGATATTATGGCACCCAGCGTTAGGTTGACATTGTTATCAAATCCAAGGTTATTTATGAGCTTGTGTCTCTGATCCTTAAAAGCAGGGCAGTCCAGTAAAGTGTGTTCAGCCGTGTCATTGTTGCACAAGCAATGGTTACAAGACTGAGACTCCTTTTTTCCTATTCTGTGTAGGAAGTGTCCAAACGAGCCGTGACCGGTCATCATTTGAGACATGTAAAAGTTTACGCGGCCAAATCGCCTGTCTATCCAGTCCCGCAAATACGGTCCAATAGCTACTATAGTACGGAGACCCCAGGCGTCGGATCTCTGCAAAAAGACCTCCCACTGTCTTATCATTAAAGCGTGTTCCTGCGATTTGATATCTGCCTTGTCCACACCGTCTTCCACATCTCTCAACTCCTTAAGACGATCATAAAGCCTGCGTCTCATAGTGGCCTCCAAAAACCAAGGAGGCATACGGGCCAAAAGGGTCGCCGCATCGAACGACACCGTCCTATAAGCAGCAGCAGCTCTTATCGCAACTGCTTTCTGAACACTTCTTAGAGGACGCCCAATTGCACGCGGAGCGACCAGAAACTCATCAGCCCAGACTGGGGAGGCGTATAGCACTATAGACGATAGTACCTTTGCGTATAATTGTCTCCTGTTCTCTCCAGGCCCCCTCAAGTTAGGCATAAGCCTGTTAAGGGCTCTAGAAACCCTGGTGACCTTCTTCGACACATACTTGATGTGTTCGTAAAACTTCAATCTTCTGTCCATAATCACTCCAAGATATTTAATGTGATCAGACGCGATGATGCAAGAGTCACCAACACTTACGGAAGGCATATTGGATGGTTTCCTACCTTTCCAGAAGAGAGTCACGTCAGTCTTCGATTCCGAAATCCTGAGGCCCATGTCCTTAATTATTCTAACCGTTCTTGCAATTTGGGTATTAACCCTTGCGACAGCGTTATCAATGTTATTTGATGTTGACAGAACCAAAGTATCGTCCGCGTAACAGAATACCTTAACTCCAGGTTCCAGAGGGAGCCTCAATACGGAGTCAAAAGCAATATTCCACAGAAGTGGCCCTAAGACCGACCCCTGCGGAACACCAGCAACGACTCCTCTCACATTGTTCACCTTTACAATTATTGTAAAGTATGAATCTATCCGACAAATAATTGCCAACTATTCTGCGGATATAGATCGGGAAGCCTTCTCTTTCCATAGCCTGTAAAATGACCAACCAAGGCACCGAGTTGAATGCGTTGGCGATGTCCAGTCCAACAGCTATGACATATTCGTTTCTGCCAAATGAAGTCAGGATGTAGTTCTTGACAGCCCTCAAAGCGTCGATGGTCGAACGCTTCCTGCGAAAGCCATATTGCTCTCCTGAAAGCCGATGATCAGGGTTCTCCTCCATCTAGTCGTTAATCCTGCCAGCGATGATCCTCTCAAGTGCTTTGCCGAGTTCGTCCAACAGACATATTGGGCGAAGCCCAACACCCGGCGAAATATCCGCCCTACCTTTTGGAATCAGTACTAGGGAGGAACGTTTCCAGCTCCTTGGGAAAACATTCGACTTAAAACACCCGGTGAAACACTTCCTCACATGTGAAAGGAGACTGCCCGGGGCGCCCTTCCATATAGACATCTTGAGACCATCTGGGCCGGGAGCCGTGTTTTTAATTGTGCGCTTGATAATATATTTACGAATCTCGTGATGTCCAACATTCCATTCCTCATCTCATTCAAAATTAGCGGAAGAATTCTCATTGATTTGCCTACCAGACAAAATGTTGTGAGGAAAAAGCTCGTCCAGCTTCTTATTTAAGAGATCAACATCCAGTTGTTCGGAAATTGCAAGACCTGTCTTCCTTAGCTTATTTAAAACCAGCTTATATGGTAACCCCCATGGATCTTTATTGATTGTGAGGATAAGGTTCTGCCAGGCTCGGTTTTTGGCTTGTTTGATGGCGTTCCTTAATTTTTTCTTAGCTAATTTGAAAAGTTGACATCTATTCTTGATGGTAGCGTTATCCAGTTTCCTTGATTTGCCTCTGAACCAGAGTCTACGAGCGGCAATAGCAGCCTTTCTTAATGATGAAATCTCGTCTGTCCACCAATGAGGATTTCTCCTGACATTCCTCCCTCGGCATATAGGAGCTGATGTATCACAAGCTTCGGTAACTATACGAGTTATCCAGAATGCATATTCATCTGGAGAGTCATTATATTCATCGGTTATTTCTGGACCGTATTGTATGGTGAATTCGACCGCCTCAGTGAAAAGTTCTTTATCTATTTTGGCAAAGTTCCACCTTTTGCCAACCTTTACTTTTTCGTTAGAAGAACTCTGAGAAACAAAAACCATAGCAATATATTGGTGATCAGAGAGAGAGATCGCGTCATCCATAACCCTCCAGTTCTTCAATCTAGTGAGTGCGGAAGGTGAGGCCCAGGTTAGGTCAACAATCGACTCACCCTGAGGCCTGACGCAGGTAGGAAGGTTCCCCGAATTGACCAATACCAATCCGCAGGAGGCCGCCCAGCTCATCACAAGGTCACCTTGTCTGTTTGAATATCTAGAACCCCAGTGGGCAGATTTAGCGTTGAAGTCTCCGCCAATCAGTATCTCAGCTTGTATATCAGGAATTCTAGGATATAAATCCTCCAGGAATTTCTCAAAAATATGGCTATTCACGTTAGGTGAGATGTAGCAGCTAGTTACTACTATTTCGTCAAAAATAACAGTAGCAGATCTTCTTTTGCGTAAAACCGATTTGTATCTTATTCTGCCCGTAAATGCAGGGAACCATAAAATAGCCGAAGAGCCGTCCAAGCTTCTAAAAATTTCCCGACTACCCCTCATTGATGCTGGGGGTTCGGAAATGATACATAAGCCGGTAGAGTTTTCCAATGCATGTTGTTTTAAAAGATCCAAGGCAGGCCAACTATTATTAAGGTTAGCTTGGTAGATATTAACCATAATAATCCGAAGTTGAGGGCTCTATATCTCTTGTCCGATGAGTTAGTCTTTCAGGCTCTTTAAACGATCGAGTACCCACTTTAAAGCCTTGGTTCTCTATACATATCTGAGAGCCTAGTCTGTGCTTGAAGTCCTTTTTCAACCCAGCGCATATTACGCAGTGAAAGGAATTTGTGCACTGATTGGCTGGGTGGCCATGATCACCACACTTGAAACATGAGCCTGCTCTGTCTATCTCCGAGGTGCATGTTGTTCTAACATGGCCGAACTTCCAGCACCGGAAACATTGAACAGGTCTCTTATGCAGAAGTTCCACTCGAACTCTCGTCCATCCTAATATTAGAAAGCCTTTTTCAGCAATCTTAATAGCCGCATTGATCGGGCAGTGAACCCTTATCATACCGAGACCATCTCGCATCCAATTAATATTACTCAGTTTAAAGTAATCTTTATGAACTTCGCTCAAATTGGCTAGTTCATCTTGAACTTCTTCTCGCGACGTTGCGTGGTCTATTCCGCGAATACGAAGTTCACCCATCTCTATAGGGTTGGCAACTTTTGCGTCGTTTTTGAGGACCCTTTCAATGCTAGCTCGCAGTAAGCCAGCCATCTGGTTGCCTTGAGGACCAGGGACCTCAATGACGATCCCGCCGTTAGCCGCAGTACGAACCTTTGTATTTTTAATGCCCAGCTGGTCCAGCGACACAGCTTCTTTGGCTCTGCGCAGTAGTTCCGCGTTAGATATCTCGGCGGATTTACTTTTGATCGTTACTACCGCAGGCCCTAATCTCCTTTTGTTACCGAGTCTGTTGATATTGCTCCTTGGATTGTTAAATTTAGATTTCCTGACCGAGGCCCCCGCATCAGATTCCAAACTCATCTGTTGCACGACTTTCTTGCGCTCGATGTTGTCGTTGCGGAGCCTGACAGGTCTATCATTCCTGCCCACTCTCCGCCATCCTCCATCCAGGTTATCTCCAGATAGGAGGGGGGAGGAGGGAGGAACCAGCTGCACATTGCCAGTAACCTTGATTCCCTTTTTGGATGTTGAAGGGGTGTGCTTTTTGGGTTGCAAGTCAGGACCTCTTATTTCTTTTCCAGGTTCCTTTTCAGAAGCAAGCCTGGGCGCGCCTATATCTGTTTTTCTCCAAGGGAACGAACCCTTACCCTTATGCCAGCCGTCGTCATCCAACCGCTCTCTCGAAGGACCCGGTAAGGATGGGTAAGTATTAATATCAAGTTTATCTTTAGAGAGTTTAGGTTCAGTACCCTTACTAAGATTTTCCTTTACTTTAGGAGAGTTCATCTTGTCCTTTGAGGAGCTTTTTAAGTCCTTTTTCAATGACCTTACCTCTTTTTTTAAGGCATTGAGCTTCTTATACAAATCCTCTATTTCGGTCTGGCTTCTAATCTCTCTTCGCTCCATCTCTCTGAGGCACTCGTTAAGATTCAAATTTTCCTTCTTTAAGCGAGCCGGATCGCCAGTTGCGTCGATTTTCTCTACCATGACTCTTAGAATGTTGGAAACAACCTTGTTGTAATTCTTCATCTTTGCTTTTACAAAACCAGCGATGTTAGATGACACCTGCCACTGCTTGTCGAGCTCGTGCAAATAGTCGAGGCCACGAGCACCCAGCTCATTACCAGAACACTCCAACCAATTCTCTCTCTGATATTTCAGTTCATTTTCTAATTGAACCTCAGTAACAGTGGTAATGTTTTTCCTAAGGGCTCTATTAGTAAGTCGTTTCCTTGACTTATTTTTGTTAAATTCGTCACCAAAGGTATCCTCGGCACTGTGATTGCTACTGGCCGAAAGGGCAGCCATTTGACTAGCTGATCTAGTAGTTCTGCAATTAGTTAAATTATCGCCATCATTATTGTTGTCCGATGAGGAGGTGATTTCGATAGATTGCGTAAAATCAACATCGTCCTCTTGGTTCAATCTTCTTTGTCCTAGCCTCGCGTCTCCTCCTGAGAGGTTCAAATTTATTAAATTTATTTGATTTACCAGTCCTCAGAGTCTTCAGTCTATTACTTCTACGCGTCTGAAGATGAAGATTCTCCTCCTCAGGTGACGCGCTAGTCCTTGTTCTAGCCGAGTCATGAGCCGGATCTTCTTGGTTTGTCTCGAGTCGGCTACTATCTATTTCAGAGCGGACTCTGCCATCCGCAAATCTACTTTTAGACGGGTAGGCTTCTTTTTCTTCTGGAGACCTGTCCGCTTTCCTCTTAATTGATGGAGTATTGGAGACCGTGACAGAGATTTCTTTAACCAGATCATCAGTCACCATCGCTTCCTCCATGTATATTGTCTCCTGACAGCTTTCGGAGGGTATATCGCCCAGTGGATCCTCTTCCATGGATGGCGCACGTGTCTGTACGCAATCCTCGGTGGTAACCAGTTCCACTCGGGTGCCCACCGGAGACACCCGAGTTAGCCCCTCGATAGATGACGACGAGGCGATGCCGAGGACGACAACATCACCAAGCCGGTCGCTGGAGGTTCCGAAGTTCTCCTGCGGCGTTAAATCATAATCGTTTTCCTTGTCTGCCATAGATTCGTATAAGTTTGGTTTGTTAAGAGGTGGCCTTCCCCTGTGCTCAATATCCACGTAAATGCCAAGGTCGTCGATGTGTAATCCGTCCGGTTTATCAGCTTCAGATGTTATGTTAGCCAGCGATCGAATAGTAAGACTAAATTCATCATTTAGACTGCTTAGATAATCCTTTTTTTCTTCAATAGAACGTGAGCAGCGACTTAGTACGTCCTGTGTTCTATTTATATCTTTCACTACTTCAACATCAATAACATGTTCTTTTACGCTATTGTCAGCTAGTAATGAAAGTAGCTGATCTCTACAATCGCTATTCAAATAGTACTCCTTCTGAAGACAAGAATTCTCATCTAAAATATTTAGATCTAATATATTCAAATCTGGGGGAGAGTCACCTCTCACAACACTTAATTCCGGGTTTTCTCTGATAAGGTCTTCATATCTTTTCAGTTTTCCTAATAGGAACGACCTAGCACAGAACATTTTGTAGCCGCGACGATAAATTAATCTGAGACATGCCTCTATTAATTTGAGCCTGAAACTATATTTCAGTTTATCAGGAATTATAACTTCTAGTTGTTTGATGGCCTCAATTGCTCTATTTAGCAGTATAGTCGGAGAGAGACCATCGCAGTGTTCTACAAAATCCTCCACAGAAGCCATCTTATGTCTTCAGTAGTGACATGTGGGAATATTCCGGCGTAACACTCCAAGGCTGCGGCGACTCGGGCGAAAGTGCAGAGATCCCTGACGTAACCGAACCGCCTGGGCCGGTAGCGTTCATCTTTTTGGATCGCTTTCCCATTCCGTTTTTGTTTGGTTTTTTGACTTGGTGGCCTTCCAAGGGTGGCGGGCCGAAGCCCTTCTGGCCCCACCAGGCCCATCCATCCACACACACATTCACCCAATGCCGGGAGCCAACCAGATCTCACCCACAGCCCGTTCGACATGGGAGACCCTGCCGGGGACCAAAGTCCCCGTCGACATGGCCTGTGGGATCATTGATCCAGCGCTCCCGACATAAACACACACACCAGCTCGGGACCCCCGGGTGCGCGAGACCCGTACCCCGCAGGGGGGGCACATGACCCCCCCTGCAGAGTCCCTGAGGGTGCCCTCTTAGACTGGAGGGCCGGTGTACCTCTCTACAGGAGGTACGGTCCGCTTTTGGCACCCCTCGCAAGAGTATCCTCTTGCGAAGGGTGAGCCCTCTCACCACGACAAGGTGGCGGACAACGAGAGGGATAAGACGAGTAAGACTCAAATGCCCCCCGTTAGTTCTCCCTCTGCTAGGGTTCCCTTCCCATCAGAGGGATATCTGAGTATCTTTCCCAGACTTCCCTCTTTCCCTCGCGTGTCGTTTACCGGTTATTTATAGTGGAGTAAACGATCTTCCACTAGGCAGACGTCTGTGTTGAGTCAAAACCGCCACTCCCGCAGATCCCTCAGGAAAATATGGAACCCCTCCTGCGGGGCTCCTCCTCCTTATGGGCATAGCCCTTTGTTTTTCCTCTAAGGGTGCAGCCCCCCAGCAGAATAGAGGGCCCAGACCCCGCGCATGCCTTATGGGTTGATGTGTACCAAGCATCACCCAGCGTACGCAGGCTCGAATCCGCAGGAGTACGTGCCTTTCCCCGTTCAGACCATGCCATGTCTAACCAGGATGTTTCCATGCTGAATACATCCCGGCACCGGCCGCCTTACGCGTTTTTATACGAGGGGTAAAGGCGGACCCCTGTTTGTATGATGTCTGACCCTTCGAGCAAGCTCGAAGAGTCATTATCATCCCTGCCCGTGTCCCCGCCTCCGAGTTTTTATACGAGGGGGAAGGCGGACCCCTGTTGCTGGCGATGTCAGCCTCCAGGACTTTGTCCCTTGACTTGACATCCCCGCGCCCCGTTGGGCATCCGTGACTCGATGTATCTCAGTGTGCCTCCGTTTTTTCGAAGGGCGAAGCACAGCCCTTTTACCTCTGTTGCCTGAACACCAGGGGAATTTACCCGGACCTCCCGGTGGAAGGTCGCGATCTACGTCCCTAGCCGCTCTCCGATTTTTCAGGGGGAGGCGGACCCCCGTTCTGTAGCCTTGGAAATGTTTACCATGCTGAAACATTCCCAGCCCGGCTGCCTCCGCGTTTTTATACGAGGGGGAAGGCAGACCCCTGTTTGTATGATGTCTGATCACTCGAGGTAAGCTCGAGCAACCATCATCATCCCTACCCGTGTCCCCGCCTCCGCGTTTTTATACGAGGGGGAAGGCGGACCCCTGTTGCTGGCGATGTCAGCCTCTGGGAGCATGTCCCGTCACTTGACATTACCGCGCCCC